TAAAAAGTAATTTCTTTCTTTTTTTTTCCTTTTAGCTATTTAAATACCCTAAAAAAAAAATGGAAGAAAAAAAGTAAATAACCCCACAAGAGATAGGCATAGTTAAGATTTTGGTGTACACGCTTCCAAACAGTGTAATTAGTATATTACAAATTCTTCGGTGCTGCGTATACCACATGGTATGCAAAGTATATAAATTTCCATGTCTCAGCTATCTGTTGAAACTAAACCGAAATAACTATGTATAACATTATATAAAATTCCGTATTATTAATGTATCATTGTCAGACATTTATTTGACATATTTTGCTATTATACACCAAGCTGTAATATGCATATGTGTGCATAAATTTTAACACATTTGTCTCATTATTTCATTAATATAAGTTCCAAGAAGACTAACTGCAAGTTCAAAAAAAAAGTACTAATTAAGCTTGTTGATAACATATTTTAAAAGTAGTTTACAGAATAGTGTTAAATTTTCCATCTCATTAGCAATGCATTAAAATATTCTGTCCATTTTCTCTTTAACTAGGTGCTGTGCTGAATATTATTAATTACAAACATTTAAAAAATAACTTTCTTGGTCCTCCGAGTAAAATCCTATTTTATATCTTATATTTCATTCTTTTCATACATAGTGAAAAATGTGAAATAAAATTAGTACTAGAGGGCATCCTTAATTTACTTCAGCTATTTATTTTAATTGTCTAGTATTTCAAAATTGAGAAGGATATTTATTTGGCTTGTAATCTGTTCCTTGACAAACATGCTTATAAATCTACCTAAGATCAAAATCTATTTAGGGGTTAGCTTTTTGAAAAACTGTCAAATTTTGAACACATTATTAAATTATTTCACCTCTTAGTTCAATTAGCATTGAGCAATAAAATAATTATTCCAAAGATTTTAAAGTTATTACTTAAAATAGATGTTTTAATTGTCATGTTTAATAAGTCTTTTGTGCTATCATCTTGGTCATTAGTCATATTCTGTATTTTCTCTTTTGATATCACTTTACATTTGTATTTGTTTAGTCAAATACTAGTATGTAAGTTTTGCATTTGATAAAATGGAATTTTTGCTCTTTATAACATTATTTCATATTTTAAACTTATTATCTTTTAGGTGTTTTAAAGCAAAATGTGTCTAATTATTCATTTATTTTCTTTAGATTTTTTCCCTAATTTGATGCTATAAATACTTCTCTCTAATATACCTTTGGTTTTATTCAATTTATTTTGACATTTATATTATCTCAGTATAATAATAATTTTCTGTTTTTCACAACTGGAGAATAACTAGAAGAGTTGTTTTTATTTCCCAAGTGGTTTGTTTTTATTTTTGCTGTTTTGATTACTGTTCCTGTTTTCTCATTTGTTGTTCATTTGAGGTTGTAATGCAGAAAATATTGGCCTCAGCTACTTTCCTCCTGCACAAATACAAATTTACGGAGGAAAGAACAACTTTACTCTCAACTCCTTTTATTACGCTTTTAAAAATTTCTGCTTAAGCATTTTTTCTGAATTTTATTTGCAAATGTTTAAAGTTACAATACATAGTGAAAAAAGGGAGTTACCTTACAAAACTCTTTACATAATGCTTGACGCTGAGATGTCACTATTTCAGTTGGTGTCAAACACTTGAAACTGAAACATCAATGAAAAATGGAATATTTTTGAATCTTTCTCAGTAGTAGCTTCGAATCAGTTTGTGATGTAGGTGAGGTATAATAAGAAATCCATAAATTTCAAATTAATGTTGAATAATAACACAATTTCATTCATACTATAAAATGTCTTAAAATCTGTTTGTACGTGCCATGAAATTTATGTTCCTTGAAAGTGAGACATTTGGAATTTTCTATTAGGTTTAGCCATGTTTTTTTGATGTGAGGCAAATATTTTGACTAAAGTTATCATAATTTATTCTACCCACACAACAAACACATTTAACAAATAAATTAATTATCTCTTTTTAATCTGCCAATTTTCTAAATCATCTTAAAGCTTTAATTAAAGAGTTGCCAGAGCTGTGTCACCACTTTCTGGGCTTTTATTAAATAAATATATCACTTTCTATAATACTGTTAATAGAATGGTGAGATTTTTACTCGATTTAGGAATATTTTTGAGGAAATCTATGCATTTTACTACTATCAATTTGAATTTTCAATAAAAATGGATTTTACTTGAAGTATATTTATGAACTCTCTTTTTAAAGACAATTAAATGTTTCTGTAAATTTTCTGACAATATAACCATACACCACTTTGGGGGTTTTTGTTTGTTTTTGTTTTTTTGTTTGTTTGTTTTGGGGAGTTTTTTTGTTTTGTTTTTTTTTTTTTTTCGAACGCCCTTCTGGAGGAGATGGCCGACGGGTTCAAAGTAAGTTCCTGGTTTAGAGTGTGTAGCGCCACAACCTTTTTTTTTTTTTTAATTTTATTTTTATTTGGGCAGGGAGGTAATTAGGTTTATTTATTTATTCTTATCAGAGGTACTGGGGGTTGAACCCAAGACCTCATGCATGCTAAGCAAGCTCTCTACCACTGAGGTATATCCTCCCCCCAATGAACCACTTTGAATAGTCAGTGATAGAGTAGAATTACGCATAGCAGGGGCAGATCTGAATGGTACAGAGGATGGAATTTAGCAGATACTTTTTGCACTTAATGCCACATCCTGGTTGTCACCCACTGGCAGCAGTCTTACAATGGACAATTCCAGTGCATCACTGCCAACATTCTTTATCAAACAATCAAGCACACATTTGCGTATCTTTGCTCCTTTCATCTAAGCAGCAGAAGGTCACTTAACTATAAGAAGATACAGCAAAAAAGTGTGTGGAGAGTTAATGCTCCTCAGGGCAACCCTCTGGGGAGCACAAGATTGGTGGATAAATACTCCAAACTTCTCACAGACTGGTGGGAAAATTCTGAAGTGTGCTCTATATATTTCCTTAGAAAGTCCCAGCAGGACCGAGTCCCAGTTGCCTTCAGAGAAATTCCCATCTCACTTTCTTCAGTGCCTCACTTTGACTTCCTTGGACTAATCATCTTCCCGCAAACTAATGGCCACTAAGTAAACACTTACATTTATAGAGGTTGATAATTATAAGAGAAAAGATGATAAGCAATTGTGTTAGACTCATAGAACCAACTGCAGATGATTGTCTGTGAAGAAGGGTGATACTTCCAAATCTTATATCTCAAACAATGGTGTATGTACAATGTTGATTTAGCTTCAGTTTGTCCATTTTATTGATCTTTTTCAAGAACCTGCTTTTGGTTTCATTGATTTTCTCCATTTTCCTATTCTCATTGATTTCTGCTCTACTCTTTATTATTTTCTCCGTCTGCTAGCTTTGGATTTAGTTTCTTCTTCTTTTCCTAGTTCCTTAAGGTGTACAATAGGTTGTTGATTTGGGATCTTCTTTCGTATGTGAGTGGTTACAGCTACAAATTTCCCTTTGGCATTGTTTTCAGTTTTCCCTAAGTTTTGGCACATTACGTTTTTATTTCCATTTGTCTCAAGACATTTTCCAATTTCCCTTGTTATTTCTTTGACCCATGGTTTATATAAGAGCATGTTGTTTAATTTCCACATATTTGTGGATTTCCCAGTTTTCCTTTAGCTATTGATTTTTAGTTCCCATTACAATCAGAAAAAATACTATGCATGATTTTAATCTTATTAAATTTATTACGATTTATTTTGTGGCTTAATATGTGGCCTATCCTGCAGAATGCTACATGTGCACTTGAGCAGAGTGTGTATTCTGCAGTTACTGGATGAAATATTTTATATATGTACATTCAGTTGATCTATAGTATTAGGTCTTCTATTTCCTTATTGATTGTCTAATTGTTCTAACCATTATTTAAAGTAGGGTATTGAAATCTCCTATTATTGTGGATCCCCTTATTTCTCCCTATCAATGTTGGCTTTATATTTTTAGAAGTGCTGATTTTGGTGCATATAAATATATTTTCTTGGTTATTGACCCTTTTTATCATTACATGTCTTTGTCTCTTATAACAGTTTTTGCCGTGAAGTCTATATTGACTCACATTAATATAGCCGCTCCTGTTCTGTTTTGGTCACCGTTCACATGGAATATCTGTACATCATGCCACTTTCAACCTATGTGTGATCTTAGTTCTACAGTGACTCTGTTGTAGATAGCATATAGTTGAATCTAAATAAGGTTAAGTATGTTTGCTTCCAATGATTTGTACTAGAATGATCAACTCTTTGAAGAAGTACCTGCATAGTAATCTCAACCCTTGCTTAAAGTCGAGAATTTA